CTGCCGACCAATACCCACACAGTTCCTGAGCAGCAATCGCTGCCCCCCCAGTCAACTTCCCCCACTTTCTATACTGAGCATGACGTCATATGGTATGGAATAGCCCTTTGGGCAGTTTGGGTCAGATGTCCTGGCTGTGCCCCCTCCCAGTTTCTTATACACCTGGCAGAGCATGGGAAGCTGAAAAGTCTTTGACTAGCATAAGCACTACTTAGCAACAACTAAAACATTAGAGTCTTACCAGCATTATTCTCATCCTAAATCCAAAACACAGCACTATGCCAGCTACTAGGAAGAAAATTAACTCTATTCCAGCCAAAACCAGGACTATCAGAATCAACAGACAAGACAGAACGATTCACAGGAGATCCCTGTATAACAGAGTGGTCAGGGCATTCTACAGGATATGTGAATTCAAATGCTCAGAGAAGGAAAAGCAGAACATTTGTTATGAGTTTCCCACACTGTGGGTGATTGTCTCTCCCTCTGACTATCAGCATAATTGTTTGACAGTTTTATGACTGACTTCTCAGATTACCCATCTCCTTCTCTCAATCTGTTTTAAAACTTTGCTCAGAATAGAAAAGCGATGTAATGAACACTTTTTTGGCGGTATGTAACAATACCTTTCTAGATTTTTTTTTTTAAAAGCCTGAAGACTTTGAACCTTGTTTTGGACTTTTTATTCTTCATCTTTAAACACAGAAGTCAATAATTTATCCAGATGAAATTATATGTTTATACTGTTATGACAGCATCTACAGCAGCAATGTTGTATGACTGTCACTACTGAAATAAAGTGACCACATTGTGGAGAAAATGAACATTAAGGTCAAACAACTGCTTCAGGTTAGATATGATTTATTATATGTAATTGCCTTTACAAATCAGGACACCTGTTTGCTGGGGAAAACATCAATAATAGAGATGTAAAAACCCCAACATACCCCCTACACAACTCAGCTCTAGAGGTCATCCTCATTTCTCTTTCCTCACTACAGATGACATTTACTATGGAGAGAATCAGAAGTAATTTCCATGAATATTCTAAGCTGTAAAGGGATGTACATTGTGCCCTAGTGTAAAACTATAGCTGGTTTAGAATTTATTGGCTAGCTACACAGAAAAGGGTAGAAGTTTAAAGAAATCAGATTGGATTAGGGAAAAAGAGAAAAGAGTTGCTTTGTGAATATTATTATTTGGGAGCCTACAATTAAACATAGGTAAAGAAGTGCTGAGGAATAAAACCAGGAAAAAATATTTTAAACATTTTGTTTCTAAAGATTCAGAAATGGAGGGAGCAAAACAGTGAAATACCAAGTTAAGTTACAGATGTAACAGAAACACAGGCTCTGATCAGAGTCTGAATCAGCTTCACGTTTGCAATCAATTTCAGACTTAACGCTGCTGCTGACATCTTGAGATTTCATCCACAAACACCTAAACAACATGTACCAATTTGTGCTATGGGGACAGATCTGCTCATGTACTTTTAGCCGTATGTGGTTGAAAGTCAGTGGCAAGTAAAAATAGAAATTCAGTTTCAAACATAGCAAGAAGTCAAAAGCACAGGTAAGGCTGGGGATTAAGGTTCAAACCTGCCCTCTCCAGTTCTATTGTGAAATTCCCAAACCAAACCAGTTCCCAGTTTTTATCAACTTCTCCCAGCCATTACCCTATGCAAAACAATACACTTTCAGTCGCATCATCTCCATACATCATCCATTACGTTTTCGAGCATACTCCATCCCAGTTACATTGTGGAGCTGACTGACTTTATCCCACACTCTCTTGGTTCACCTCTTCACCACTTTACAAACTTGGTCTGGCATGAATCAGACTCAAATACACCCATGGGGCCTGGGATGCAACACAAAAATAGAGCCTACCTCTTCTAGCTGCACCAGGAAAGTGACATTGTGTCCTTGCTCGGCTGTCAGCTTGCCATCAGATGTGATTATGCGAAGGCCCTGGGGGGCTTTGCCAGGACATTGCTGGGGTTTTGCTGTGTACCGTTCTCTCACACCATCCGTGCAGTTATTAGAAACAACTTTCCGGTATCTGCAAAGGAAAAGAGAAATCTGTGCAAGATGCTGACAGGGAGCATAATAGGGTTAATTGGGAACAGGAAGGCATTTTTGAGGTTTCTTCAGACTAGGGAGATTGGAAGAAAACAGATTCTCAAATATATTTTAGCATTTGTCTCAGCCAAGCATTCCTCATGTGCCTAACATACAAGTAATTAATACTGTTAATGGCATGTAATATTTTCCTGCATAGCCCACCTATATACCACACATTAAAAAACTGCCTAAATCATAATTATGTGATGATCTATGTTACATGTTAAATAACTATAAAGTTATAAATAAATTATATACACATGGAGTATGGAATTGTATTCAATTATTATACTGTTAGGCACAGTTTAGCAGCTTTTCTCACATGCTCTCCAATTCTCATCAGTTGTGAGACAACACTCTCTAAAGATGCTCGAGAGCTAAAAAATAAGAGAGTTGAAGAAAAAAACAAATCCTGCCTATCTTTGAGTGTACAAAATGCCAAAACACAGCTTGGGTTCCTTTGCTTTAATCACTTGCATCAGAAATGAAGTTTGAGGTCAGTATCTTAACTTAAACTACATCTTCCATTGACTTCCAAGAGGGCCAAAGAATAATCAACATTCAGGCTAGCTGCCCATCTCTTACTTCAGTTCACATACACATCAGTCTCATCTCTTTCCTCTAATTTGTTTTCCACCATTTCTGCCTCACCTGATCCCACATGATTTTAAGAGGTGTCTTTTCAGAGACTTTAATGATTTGGCCTTTGCTTTACAGTTTTCCCTGCAAGTTTCTTTAAGGCATCAGTTTTCAGGGAGATGTCTGGATCATACATGACGGACTGCCAGACTGCGCATCCTAACAAACTCAGTGAAGAAGAGGTCCTAAGGGCTTCAGCCAGCTTTGAGACATCTATAGTAAATGCAATTTGTAGTTCCCATTGGATTAAAGTCCATATGGGTGCTCTAGATAAATAATGTCTGGTGTGCCACTTACCCAGTGCTGTTGAGATAACTCTGTCCAAGGCTACAATCTTTCGACAAGGAAGATGGGTTATACCAAAATGCTGGTAAACACTGCCCATTGCTGTGACGTTCATATCCATAATCACTGTTTTAGCATTAAAAGAAACAGTTACATAAAAAAACAAAAGAACAAATACAAGTATTAGCTCATACTCTTTACTATTGATACAAATTTTGATTTTCCTCAATCTGTTTACTAGGATTTCTGATTTTTTCTTGATGTAACAACAGATTCTTCATCCTGCTGTAGCATTTTTTTGGGGGGTAGAGTTACCTTACATATGTCCCAGTATAAATGAGCAGAACCAGACCAGGTAGTTCATGAGCTATTGCATTATCTGTTCTCCCTCCACAGTCTAGCAGTGCTTCTCAGGTTCAACTCTAGACTCAAATACAATAAAAGTGAGAGATCTAAGCTAAGTTCAATTGCTGCTCAGTCATATCTTAGAAAACTGAAGTGCTAAATAGTTAATTGTATTTGGAAACTATATCACATGAGCTGTAGAGGAAAACTTACAGCCCTGAAAGAGCTCTTGACTGAAGGCATTAACAGCCTATTTGGTAATGGAAAAGAAGGCTGCAATCTTCAATTCTATTTTTGTTTGGAAGAGGAAATGCTACCAAAAATCATGAGTTAGAAACAGTGAGTCAAACTGTAATCTGTTATCCCGATTTGGCTTTAGCTATGACTAAATTTGCTTTGGTTCCACTAAAAATAAATAATAGTTCAGATTGGTTTTTATTCCAGGTAAACAAAGACTCTATAAAAATTGTTATTGTGGAACAAATAAAACAAACAAAAAAACCTCTTTAATCAGCATTCTGTTCACATGTGGTTTTACTCTCCAGCCTTTGAGTAATGAGGACTGTTTGGCTGGAAAATCATTCTTATTTCTTTTACTAAGCTTTCTCCACAGCCCATAATGGGGAAGTTAATAGGATGCCATTTCTAAGAACTGCTATACAGAGTCCACCAACTCCATTCCAATATTCCAGTTGTGACATGATCCTTGATCTTAAAATGGCACTTCTTTGCAAAGCACTTTTTTTGCTTATTATCTTTAATGTCTTGGTATCAAGTAGCCTGACATTCTAAGAAAAGAGGATTAGGGCAGCATTAGATTATGTGATTCAAGGCTCATCTCTGTATACAAAAAGAAGCAGAGAGGAAAAACAGAAGGCAGAGGAACCCCAATAACCTGGTCAGAGCCAGTGGAGCCGCAGCTCCAGCTCCTCCCAGGGCTGTCACAGGAGAGCCATCAGCCCATGGCAGGGGTGAGACCTTCCAGATCATTAACGGGAGAGGCTCTCCCTAGATCACTTCGCAGGTCACTGAGCGGGATTACTGTACACAGGGATATGGGGCTTATTATGCTATGCCAGGGAATTGCATCTAGGAACTCCATTTCTGTTTTCCTGGCTGAGGGGGGCTATCTGTTCTGTGTGTGTGTAGTGGTCCAAGTCTCAGCAACTGGCCTCAGACCACGGGTCACAGGGCTCCATGTGCCTGCACTGCCAGCAACTGGAATGACTGGTGTAATGCCATATAAGTATGGACCTGCTCATGAGACCTGTTACATGTGTATATGACTATGCAAGAGGCAACTGGGGCTGTCCAGTTGATAGCAACTGGGGAGACAAGGCATCCAGGGGCCAGATACTGGACAGACCTGGGTGTCTAAGACCAGGTACTGGTGGGACCAATATTGTATGTATGTTCACAGTGCACATATTTTCCACAAATGGGATTTCACTTTGATCAACCAGAGAGGGGAACAGGATGAGGCAAACTGGTGTTTGTGTGAGTGCTGTGTTTTCTGTTTGCGCTAATCTGTGTCGCTAGCCATGTACATATGCATATATGTTCTGTGCGTACATGCATATCTGTGCCTATCAGGAACGAACGCTCAACCTTCCTACTGGCTGGGTCAGGGGACACAGAGCTGCAGCAGCCTCACCTCTATCAGGTGATATTTGTAGAATAATATTAACAACAAGAATGTTTAACATTATGAAGACTTTTTTCACATGCTTTTTTCTTTCTGGACCAAAGCATGATGGCTTAAAACAAAAATTCAATGAATCACTATTAAACAATTTTAAGAAGTCTGGTACTGATCTAAGATACAAGTCAAAAAAAAAAAAAAAAAAGGAGAGAATACTTTGCAATTTATTTTTGTTAAATTTCTTATACTTATTATTAAAAGCAGGACATTGAGAAGAATTTTGTCACTGTTTTTTACTCCTGCCTGCAACTTTTCCTTCTGAATCAAGAAAACATTGTTTTGAGATAATCTAAAAAAAGAGAAATTTAAAAGATGACATTAAGCAAAAGAAAATTAAAGCTGCATATCACTTGGGAAAACTCCTAAACATCTATTAGACTGCACGACTGTTCCAAAGGAACATTTTGGCAGCTGTGGTGCTTGGGATATCTACAGTAAGTAATTGAGAACATACTCTAGGAAACAGCAATGAAGTAGATGACCTAAATGGTCTTTTCCTCCTTTTTTTGATTGAATTTTCATCAATCTGTTTACTCAGATGCTAGTGACTGAATGTTGCTTAATTGCTTTGGAAGCATCAACCATCCTATTCTCCCACTGCCATGTGCTTCTCTAATCATCCTTGTTGGAATAAGAACACTATAGCTGCAGAATACACTTTATAATGAAGAATAACACCATTCTGATTTGCTTAGAGAAAACAAATGTTTACATACAAGTGGGACTCCTGTATTTTTGTAATTCATTTGTCAACACTCTGCAGCACTGTATTCCTAAGTTATCATGTGTCACTAATTAAAAAGCTGTAACACTGTACACATACAATGTTCTGTAATCAGTTAGGCGAAAACAAAACAAAATAATACAGTGAAATCTGCCTCAGAGGGGATCAGTACCCCTTTTTTGCAAATCGTCTGGCTCATTAAGGCCCTACAGAAAAATCATCCCAGTAAATGACATGAATTGCTGTTCCATATCTCTATACAGATGTACCAGCCGCCAGTTCACCTCCGCAGTCTTGGAATCTAATGAATTCCTTGGCTACAGCCTGGTGCATGCAGAACACTGATGCTGACAACAAATTGCTGCCTACAATTTGGCACAACAGGCTTTGTAGCAATCAACAAGCATTAGCATCAATTGGATTGCCATAGCACAAGCCAGTATAGCAAAATCTGGAGACAGGGAAGGCATCAGCTTTAGACTGCAATCAGCTAGCCGAGTCACTGCCTGGTAACTGGGAATTGGAATTTGCATATATTGATGGTATTTTGTGCCTGCCTGAAAAGAACTCAGGTGAAATAGATAATGTACCTATCAAAAATGAGTGGAGCATTTACCAGCAGGGACTGTTTTATCAGTATAAAGCAGCCTATCTTGTGGCTCTCACTGATGATGGTTTTACGCTGGCCACTTTTACTGGTTTAAACTGGAATCCTATTTGTCTTAGTCAAGTAGGATTGCAAGTCCTTCTCTGTAATTAGAGACAGATATGAATTCATTCCGGAAGTTCTGTATCCCTGCTCAAAGCTCATGGTAAATTCCCTTATCTAAGATTATTTGCAGCACAGATAATAATCAAAGGAAAAGAAATCCCTTAAGGAAGTTTGTAGTTTGAATACAAACCTGGCAAACATACTGTCATGGAAAAACTGTAAATCCACGTGAAATTACTAAAATCCCACTGTTTTAAGATACAGAAATAACCAGTTAAGTCAGATGAGTGATTGCCATGCTCATATCTTCTAAAAATCAAGGGATGACTTAACAGGTAACCACAGGACTTCCTTAACACTAACAGCTTCACCTTAAGGTTAAGTATGCCAGAAACTGAAAAGGCTACTTGTGGCTTTGTACACTGTGCTTTGCAAACTTTTCAGACATTAAATGGGGTGGAATTGTGGTATCTGTCATTATAGTCACCTTTGCTCTGCAGTTTCCAAAAGTCCTTGTGGAAAAAAATAACTGTGGCCACAGCCATGGAAATGTCTTACCACCTTTTTATTCACTTAATACCATTGTCTAACATTGCACTGTGATGCAAGTGTAGATTTGTGTTAAAGGGGAGCTGTGCTTGCTTCCCAGTTCTACAGGATCTGACATGGGATTTATCTCAGAGAAGGACGGATTCAGCTGCAGTTTGAATTATGGATCTATGAAGCCATATGATTATAATTTCATCACAGTATTTGGAGTCAAGCTATACCAGCTTATGTTAATAGGGAACCTAAAATCCCGAGAATCTTTCCAATAAATCTATGCCTGGTAGATATCTAGGCCCCTAAAGATGCAGAGATGCACTGTGGACTTTGCATAGTGAATCTGCATTTTCCATAAGCATTCAAAATGAACTAAAAATTCATTCAAAATGACTATTCATTTAGCTAAAGAAGCCTACCTCAATGACAAAGCAAAGTTAGTTAACCTAAGGGTGCAAATGTATGTGTATTTCAGAACTGGCATCTGCATGATTGTCTGAACTGATGAGTGGTAACACATGAAGCCAACAGAGTGTAATCACATTCAGTGTCTGCCTTCTGCCTCCCCGCGGTTTGTCGGGACAGTTTCTCATGACGCAGGACTCCTATGTTTTAGCGTATGGACTAAACCTAGCAGGCAAGTCTGTAATTTAAGTGCCAGACAATAAAAAAGAGCTAGCCAGATCCTTGCTGATATGATCAGTGAAATAAATAGGCCTGATTCTCAATGGCACTAAGACTCCTTTGCGCATCTGTGGCTATCCAAAGTCGCTAGCACCAGCGTCAGAAGGCTCACACTTCCCATAAAGGTGTGAGATATGGGAATACTGATAGGAGAAGCCCTCAGTATTAATGACAGTGGGTTCAGAGGGAGAACTGACAGTGAGACACTTAACTCAAAGTTGGTATTAAAGGACCTGGGAGACAGGTAGCTGAAGGATGAACACCACCAAAGATTTCCATCTGCATCTAGGAGGTGTTTCTACTGAAGAGATATTGCCGTAATAATGCTCAAACGGCAGGAAGGAACACAATGTAAGGAAACCGGGTAAATTAATGCTTTAATAACACACAAGTAACGGTGTCATCCATTTACCCAAATCAATTAAATGAAGAAGGACAATCTCGTTTCCAGGCCGTTGCTAGGACAGATTTGCCGAGGGCTTCTGCTCATTTCCAGTACCCCCTATTCCTGAAGCACTATTGCCCTCTGGCTGTGAGCCTCAGCCCCTGCACGGAGAACAAATACCTGCTGCTTCAGCCCTGTCCCCAGCCAGTTATGGTTCTAGCCCATGATAAGAGATGTCTACTGTCAGAAGAGTTCAGGTTCCCAAGGCTAGAGAAACTACAGTCATTTCTAATGTCACTCAGTTTTGTTGCTGTGTAAAACAATAAACAAATGTGCCCTTTTCTCTGAGAAAGAACTACTGTGGGCTGAATACAGATTTGAAATGAACCTGGAGTTCTATGCTATTACCAGCAGAAAAAAACCATTATAAAATCTTTATGTCTTTTATAACTTGCATTTTTTCCCCTGAACTGATAAAAAGGCACGCGCAGGATTAACAGCAATAGCACTTTTTTTTACTTTACCTGATCACACAGATATATTTTTTTACTCCAAGCTCTGACAAGCTTAGATAATAAAATTTTCTCCATACAAATTCAGTGACTAAACAGCAAAGAAAGCCCTACTCTGACTGGGTGAGGGATTGTTGTACTCTTTAATTCTGTATACAAGTCTGGGTTCTGTAACCATTGATGTTAATATAAAAAGTCACCCAGTTTATTTCAAGATTGCAAAATCAAGTGCAGTCAGCTAAGGGGCTTCACCCTGTCTGTGGGATACATGCCCCCTTCAATCTCCTTCAATTAAGAGCCCTGACCAGCAAAAAGAGAAACAGAGAATTCAAAAGCACTGCTGAAATCTCATGAATGAGGATGACAGAAGTGCTTCTTCCTTTTGCAGGAAGGAGCCCGCAGAGGACCATCCTTCCACAGCAAGAATTCATTCACTGATTTTCCTCCAAATGTCTCTTTGGACCAACTTCTGCAGGGTGTGTTGGCAGTGAAGCCTAGTGCAGAGTTCAGCAAGGCAGGCACTGAATGCTACAGCGCAGCAGCAGCTTTGCCTTTCTTAGCACAACAGAACAGGGCTGAGAAATTCAGTAGAGCCAGCAGAATTGGCTTTTTCTCGCCATCTCTTTTCTCCTTCCTTGATAAACCTCTGTCTCCTGTTCCATGTGGCTTTTCTGTCCTTCTCTGGTAAATCTATGTAAAAGTATGCTCCTGACTGTAGTAAGTAGATAAATAAGTGATGACAAATATTTCTGAACCGGATGCTTAAAGCAAGGTTCCAGTCTTTTTTCCTCAGAGGCACTGGGGAAGGAAGCTGAAATGGATAAAGTAAAAAACCAGATCTGAGGACTGTAGGAATAACGAGAGCTCAGAGAGAACTGGAGGGGATCACGATAGTCTGCTCTAAACCAAAACTGGTTTCATCAGAAGGGGAAATGCCCTCCTAGGTCAGGAAGGCTTTCTGTCAGTCAGCTCAGCACAGAGACCTGCTGTATTTTTAAGGGTATTTTTCTCAGGCTACTTTAACAAGATGACTTTTGCAAAGTCTTAATTCTGCCTCTTCCAACAGATTTGAGGGGTCTTGTTGGTGCGTGTGAACTGTGAACGTCTGTCACGCATCCCAAACCATCCAAGCTTTCTCTTAGAGATTCTCTCACAACCCAGCAGACCTTTTGGAGAAAGTTGCCTCAAAGTGAATGTAAAAGAAACAAAAGTATGTTTCTCCCAGCAAATGTCACCGTGGTACTTTTGTTCTGTACCTAGCAACAAAGTTTTGTAGTAGCAAACCACACAATAAATTTTAATGAAAAAAACCCATACATTCCCAGAGAGAGACAAGTTATGTAAGGAAAGCATATTTTCATCAGAAGCGTTTCATGGGTGTGTGTCCCTTAAGAGTGTAAGGGGTTTAACCACTAACAGACTGACCGTGAGTCAATCCCTTCAGTTATTTTCTTGAGCCTGGGCATGAGCTTGGCACAGCTTTGCACTGCACGCTCTACAGGAAGGTAAAAATCTTCAAGTAATTTCCTTCCTATTCTTTTTTTTTTCTGTTTGGCTGCTGTCTTTTTTTACACTACCAGAGATATGTTAAACAACTGAAATCCAGGACCTTTGGGCATCTACATGACAAACTACACACAGAACTGAGGTATCTTCTCCCTAACAAAGAACTCAGTGGAAGATGGGGAAATCATCAGGAAACCATATTCAGAGAATCAGTGCCCAAGTATACCCATAATTTTTATTATTTGGTGCAAAAAGATTTACTTTTTTTGACACATGGAAAAGCCTCCTGTCATTCTGTGATTTTATACAGAAAAATCAATGTAACTACAGTTATGGGAGGGTGAGAAGGGAAATGCTGTAAATTTCCATGGTCCTGGAGTGAACTCATATAGCAAGAAACAAAATATTTATGAGATGAATCTCTTCAGGGTACATGTTACAGCTTCTGGGTTTAATTAATAACATGGCGTAGATGTAGCTGGGTGAGACACAAAGGGGGTTTATCAGCACTGCCAAAGAGCTACCACTCTTCTGGGATACTCACGACTGTCTCAGACTTGGAGAAAACAGGTGATAGAGAGATTTCAATAATGTGGTTCCCTGCTTTTTGTGCAAATT